TGGAGGCTGCATCCCTCCAGGACTGTGGTTCAGGGTTAAAGCTCAGCGCCAGAGGTGGTTTTGTGCAGCAGCCCTAAATTTTTGGGAGGGTAAAGGCTTGGTTTGACACATCTGACTGCAGTCACCATCACTGTAGAGCCACAGGGCCGTGCAACAGCTGGGTACTGGTGGCTCTGTTGTACTGAACACAAACCTCTCCTTGTTTTTTTATTTTGTTTTGGTTTTGTTCTTTTCTTTCTTTCATCCAGTGAGCTGCTTCTGGGACCCGTACCTACCAGCTTCACCTTCCTGCCTAAACACAAGGCAAATTCCTACAGATGAGGCTGATGAGGCCCTTTCCCACGGCATCGAGTCAAGAGGAGGCGTTAGGACAGCGTGTGTCGAGCAGGGTTGCTCAGCTGCGCTCCAAAATAAAATAAAGTTTTATGTTTTTAGAAGCATGGTTGCCTTCACACCCCCAGCATTGGTCTCTGCCACAAGTGATGCAGCAGATGGCCTTGCACAGTCTTGCAGCCAGAGGTGCCTCACTAACGGAGAACAATCTGTTTAATTAGCAGGATACGGGCCAGGAGAGAGCTTTGGCCTCCAGTTTACAGCAAGAGTTCTCCTGACTCCCCCAGGCCGCACGCTGTTCACACAGCGGGAGCGAGAGGCCTCTGTTCCTACCAGGATGTCCTTGGTAGTGCCAAATCCTCCAAGTATGAGGAGGGGATGTACTAACCCAATCCCTGGGGTCCTGTAGAGCACAAACAGCCCCAGCATCTCATCATCGAATGTTGTGCAGAATCCAGTCCTTTTTTGGGAGCACGCAGCGGCGGGTACCATCTCCTCCTGGGTGTCACGCACCCGGGGAAAGCGCAGGCGCCTCTCGAGGGGGATCCGGAGCTGCTTGTTTCCCGTTCAGGAGACTAAACGGCCTGACACCACTACTTGAGTGAGGGCTGCGGGGAAGCATGCCACCGAGTGACACTGCATGACATACCCTCGCACCCTCGAGGTCCTTTTCCTACCGCTGCATCCCTCCAGCCACTGCAGCACACAGAAGCACAGACAACGGTCACGAAACACATTCGCCGTGTGGCACAAGAAGGCTGCGGATGCAGCTCGGCCCCCACACCGCTCAGCTGAATCAACAACTTTTTCCCCCTGAAAAATACTATTTAAAGCAAAAAGCATTTACCTTCCCAGCCTCTGATAGCCACCTGTAGGGGCCAGGGGCACCCCAGCCCCCCTTAACCCTTTCCCTCCCCAGGAGGAGCGGAGGAGGCTGTTGGGGGCGGGACGGAACACTGGGAGCTCCCACATTCCTTCCTGGGAGACC